AGTGAGTGAGGGCGAGAGCAAAAGCGAGCGAGAGAGAGAGAGAGAGAGAGGAGTAGGGCTAGCTCACAGTTGGCCACCAGCATGGCCACTTACAGTGCACAGGCATAGGACTAGATTGCGAGGGCATAGCATCGTCTAACGCTCCCGCCGCTCTCTCGTTGCAGAGGTTAAGATGGTGAAGCAGATGCCGAAGGTGGCGCAGATGGACCAGCCGTCGATCGCCATCATCACCGCCCTCTACCCGGAGAAGCTCGCAGTCGACACAATGATAGACAACACGCAGACGTTCGTACGCTACAAGACGGAGGGTGAGCATTTTCACAGCTTAACTATGCATCTACCGAGTTGTCACAGCTTAGCTATACATCTACCGAGTTGTCACAGCTTAGCTATGCATCTACCGAGTTGTCACAGCTTAGCCATACATCTACAGAGTTGTCACAGCTTAGCTATACATCTACAGAGTTGTCACCGCTTAGCTATACATCTACAGAGTTGTCACAGCTTAGCTATACATCTACAGAGTTTTCACAGCTTAGCTATACATCTACCAAGTTGTCACAGCTTAGCTATACATCTACAGAGTTGTCACAGCTTAGCTATGCATCTACCGAGTTTTCATAGCTTAGCTATGCATCTACCGAGTTTTCACAGCTTAGCTATACATCTACCGAGTTTTCATAGCCTAACTATACATCTACCGAGTTTTCACGGCTTAGCTATGCATCTACCGAGTTTTTACAGCTTAGCTATGCATCTACCGAGTTTTCATAGCTTAGCTATGCATCTACCGAGTTTTCACAGCTTAGCTATACATCTACCAAGTTTTCATAGCCTAACTATACATCTACCGAGTTTTCATAGCTTAGCTATACATCTACCGAGTTTTCACAGCTTAGCTATGCATCTACCCGAGTTGTCATAGCTTAGCTATACATCTACCCGAGTTGTCATAGCTTAGCTATACATCTACCCGAGTTGTCATAGCTTAGCTATACATCTACCGAGTTTTCATAGCTTAGCCATACATCCAGCGTGTTCACCCGTGTAGTTGTGGTTTCCCGACTACAACATGTTTCCCTCACGCACACACGCTTTCCCTCACTCCCGCTCGCTCTCACGCGTGTGTGCTTGTGTTGCACAGGAGAGTCGAACGTCTACACGCTGGGAGATATCGGCGAGCACCGCGTCGTATCGACGAAGCTGCCGGCCGTCGGTCACACGCGGTCAGCGATGATCGCCGGCGGCAACACGACAACACGTCTGCTAGGTATGCTATTGTACGCTCGCGCGCGATGACGGAATACCGTCGGGGGACGTTGGACACGTGCGTTCACTTGTTTCAGGCTGTGAAAAAACGTAATATCAACGCTGTGACATCCATTGCACACGCTCACTTGTTTTTTTCTATGCAAAAACTTGTAACACCATCGAGAAATCCAATGTGCACACTCACTTGTTTAAGACAACAAAAACGTGCGTGAAAAAAGTTCCAATCGGCGTAGATGTCCTGAGAAACCTTCCAACCGTGCGACCTTGTCCCGTCATCCTCTCTGCTCTTGCTGTTCCCCAGGAACCTTCCAGAAGATCCAGTACGTCTTCCTGGTCGGCGTGGGAGGCGGCGTGCCGCACTACACGGACCACAAGAAGCACGTGCGGCTAGGGGACGTCGTCGTGTCGAGTCCCGAGGGTCCGAACACGCCCATGTACATCTACTGTGATGAGGTAAGCAACACCCCAATACCAACCGTCCTCGGGACGGTCCATTTAGTTGGGTTTTCTGTGGTTCGGTTTATAGGTGGGCATCTTACATGTTTTAGATATCGTGGGACTTTAAACCAGAAAGAACTGGTGGGGGGGGTTGTTTAAATCGTCCGGTTTAATGTGAGATTCGGTTTTGATGGCTATTAACAATTCGAAGAGTTGACTTTACGTAGAAATTACGTCTCCACAATCGTGCGCTGATGCCGCCAAACTTCCGCCATTGCTTTCTGCCGTTTTGAGAGCATTTGGAATTCGGGTAGTTAACATAGAATGTAAATTACGTCTCTACGATCGTTCCGTTGTTTGGCAGAAGCGGGAGAACAAGGACACGGGCAACGTGGAGTGGGACACGAAGACCTGGTGTCCGTCTGACCTCATCATACAGACCATCGCTCAATCGCTCATCGACAAACACGCCGCCACACCCGAGGAGGCCCCCTGGTTAGGTATGTTTATCTTACCCCACACCCACCCAGCCAAGCTTNTATGCTCAGGTACGTACTGAGTCTGGCGGTCATATTACAGACATAACTTGAATCTTTGTTACGGCGCGAATTTTTTTGTTTATTATAAATCATGTGGCCGTAGGTGCTGCCCAATACATACGTGGTTGTTGAAAAGACGCGTAGCGCAGTGGCTTATGAGCAGTGCGCGTTAACACTCTTGCGAAGCAGTCAGCGCAGTATCACGCGATCGACAAACACAACTATCAGTGATGCTAGATCATCGTCTTATTATTAAGAGCACGATATATGTTACGTAGGCTAGTAGACACCCGATAGATCTCAGCGATTTAAAAATCCACACATGCGCAATTCGAGAATAAATAACGAAATGCTAAATAAGACCACTGTGTGTATTTCTCGCTGATCATTTTTTTTTAAATCGCCGCTTTCACCCAAGCGTTACCTAATAATAACCGTGCCACTGTGTCAAAAACGGCAAAAATTAATTGAACAAACGAGGCATTAACTTGTAGCCACGCACAAACACCGAGCCAGCTGCCGATACGAATTACACAACAAAATTCTAAAGAATTTGTAAATCTGCTATCTGCAAATTGTTTGTCCGCATGTGTATAAACGCCCCAACAATTGCAGCATTTCGCAACTTTAAAATATTATATATTTGGTTTATATATATATTTATTATATATATATATATATATAATATATAATATTATAATATATATAATATATTATATATCATATATGTTATATATATATATATAATATATATATATATATATATACGCAGCACGCGAATTATAATACATCAGGCACGATCTAACGTGACGAACGGATGTTGTTCCAAGTGCTCACTGAGCAGTTGTACGTAATATTACTATGCACTTCGCGAATATTATTCCTGTACCAAAGACAAATGTAAAACTACGAGTGTGAAAGGTTTGGTTCACCGATATTAATTGCGACTTTATACAAATTAGTTAAATATTCTTTTTTAGAAGAGATAAATCAGTAGGAGCGAGAGAGAGAGAGAGAAGAAAGAAAGAGCGAGAAAGAGAGAGACAGAGAGAGAAACATAGCGGGAGAGAGGGAAGGAGACAGACAGACAGACAGATAGTAGGAATAGGATAGATAGATTAGATAGATAGATAGATAGATAGATAGATAGATAGATGATAGATAGATAAGATAGAGTAGATAGATAGAATAGATAGCATAGACTAGATGGGAGATGCTAGATAGATCAGATAGATATATAGATAGATAATGATATTATAGATAGATAAATAGATATGATAGATTAGATAGTATAGATAGATAGTAGATAGATAGATAGTATGATAGATAGATATGTATGATGCTAGATAGATAGATAGCATAGATTAGATATGAAATAGATACGATAGATGATAGATAGATAGATAGCAAATACATATGATAGATAGAATAGATACGATAGATACGATAGATAGATACAGATAGATATAGATAGAATAAGATAGCATGATAGATAGATAGATAGATAGATAGATAGAATAGCATAGATAGATGGTAGATAGAAGAGTGCAAGATAGGGAGAGGAGAGCCGAGGATAGAGAGTGCGTGTTCGCTGTTTTGCATTAGTGTAGTACATTTTTATATGAATGTTTAACATAAGAATTAGGCCACCTAAATGTGCATTATTTAATATAACTGCGCGCATATTCAAATTACACGAAACATAAATTGAACAGGTTAATTGAATAACTCACCGGTTTTACATTTACATGGTAATAACGTGCACGTGTCTTCCACAGATTTTCTGACCTGGGATTCTGTTTATAGTATCGATTCTATTGGGGAGCATCTGCAATGCATTCAGATCAAATATCGGCAATGCTTTGTTTCGCAGTCACGACTACATAGTCAACACGGGCGCCTGTCGGAAATGAACCTAATATCGACCTATAGCCACTGATGTATTAGCGTGTCACGCTGCGTATTTATTACACCCTCCGGTGTGAATAATGACTATGGATTCACGGCTGCGAAAATTTTGTTTACACGAACTACGTGATCGATTACGATACCTTCTGACTATACAACCGAGAAATGTAACATTAGACGTCATTACTGACAGAGCAGTCACGTGTTCGTCTATGTCGCTAGCAGTCAGATATTCGTCTATGACGCTAGCAGTCACGTGTTCGTCTATGACGCTAGCAGTCAGATATTCGTCCGTGACGCTAGCAGTCACATATTCGTCCATGACGCTAGCAGTCATATATTTGTCCGTGACGCTAGTAGTCACATATTCGTCGCGTGACGGCTAGCTCAGTCAGATTTTCATAACCGCTGACACCTAGCAGTCCAGATATTTGTCCGCTGACGCTGAGCAGGTCACTCATATTCGATCCGTTAGACGCTAGGCAGTTCAGAATATACGTGTCCGTGATCGCTCTACAGTCACATATTCGTCATGACGCTAATGCAGATTCATATATTTGTCCGTGACGCTAGCCTAGTTCACATATTTCTGTTTCCCGTGACGCTAGCATCGATATTCGTCCGTGACGCCTAGCATCACATTTCGTCCGTTGACGCTAGCCAGTCACATATTTTGAATGTGATGGCATCGCCATAATTTATTTTTAACCCAAACTTGTAGCCTACACACGTTTCGTTCTTGAACGTAGAAATTGAATGTACTCGTTTCAATAGTTTCGGTTTAACGCCATGCATATTATTACATCTAGCATCGAAATGGCTTTTTTTCGCGACTCTAGTATGGAGGGCATTTGACAACCTTTAACTGACTTTAGCATCATTTAATGAGTGCCTAACCATGCAGCGTGGAATGATTACTCGTATACATGACTGAGCATGTGCTACCTTATGAAATTACACACTGTTACGATGTTTGGTAACACACTAGCAGCTATTGGTTTACCCTAACCTCGGAATACGTCTCTGTTTCTCCCCGACGAGAGAAGAGGAGCCCTTCGCGCGAAGGCGGTGAATGCCGACCGTAATGGTTGTGTAGCCAGATTCGCTTTTTAGGATCTGTTGTTTTCGTAGTGGGTGTTATACGTTTTTATCTCACGAAGTGGCGCTAGTGGGGGTGTCCCGCAATGAACCATTTGTGTGTACCCTCCGCGATAACAGTTTCGACGGCAAGTGGAAACAATCGCAGAAATCGACATCCTTTCAGCCATCAAGTACCGTCCTAATAAGCGTATCCCGTTTGCATTTTGCAAGCCAATATTCTATGCGTATACGGGGGTTGGGGGGGGGTCGGAAGGGGATCTGTGTAATGGGCTGGCTAATTTACGAGCGAGAAATAACTGTTTATTTATGAGTGGCTACCGGAAATGTCCGCGCTCTGATCTGATCTGGATATTAATGGTTATTTTGCATCCCATTTTTGATTATTTTATTGTTAGTTCTATTTAATTATTATTATTATTATTATATTATATATTAATAGACGACACTGCGCCAACACCACCGCGCCACCACCGCCAACCTTCTGGGACCTTATTTTAATACGAACATACAATGAAATCATGCGTGCTTGCCGTGTAAGGTTTCCTTATTGGAATTCTTTGCTGGACTCTCTATGTTCGTTTCTTATGTTGATGATAGCTACGGTACTTCATCTTATCATATTATTGCACGATATAAGACATTTTAGAGATCAGATTATAAAATAGTAAATATTGTATTACATTACTGATTATCTCTCTTCAATCTCTCCTTTATTCCCAGCTCTCTTCTCTCTCTCTCATCTTCTTCACTCTCTCTCTCTCTCTCTCTCTCTATTCGTTCTCTCTATCTCTTCACTCTGTCTAACCTGTATATTTACACAATCTCTTTTCCCCGCCAGTACACGCATGCACATCGCGTGTGTGTACATACATAATCTATGCGTGCGTGATGCTGATGTGTGCTTGTAGAGTATACTTTCGGTATATATATATAATGATCTGTATTATATATATTATATATATATATATATATACATATATTTTATAATGGTTTGCTGGTAAATGTTGCCATGTGTGTTGGCTGAAGTCAGCCCGCAGTCATCACCACTCTGCCGTCATCGCTGATTCGTGCTGAATGTCATCATCGCGTTGCTTTTTATCTAGAATCGTTACATATATTGGTACGTTTCGCTCAAAGCCGTCTCGTCGGCGACCTTGGAAATGCTGAATGCCAACGCAATTACAGCAAACGTTGAAATGTATGCCCAACGAGACGCATTGCGATGTCGGTTACATGTTTCCTGTATTGGCTATTGTGCATCACCCGCAACGAACATTATCTAAATGCTCGCTATCGAGAACGGACTGGGTGAGAAGTCGTGAGTGTGTGGCATAAATAAAAACCGGAAAACCATTCGTCAATATTCTAAAGGCGCGCATGATTATTTCGATGGATGCACTCGGCTCAATTAGGGATTATAGACTCGACGCGGGCATGTTTTTTGGGCATTATCTTAGCTCTTTCTGTGTTATCTTTTCTAAATCCATCCAAATTCGCTCTCTCGTGTCACGCGGTAATCTCTGCCATTTCAGAGACTTCCGCAGACGCGTCGACGGCACGAATTTGTGTTATCACAGCTACCGGTGTTTGCAAAAAAAGCAAATTGTCATTATTTTTTACGCAACGGTCGTTTTGCGAAACGAGAATTATGTAATTAGAATGTGCATCCGCCGTATAGGTAAAGTGAACAATGCGTCCGCGACGTGAGATGGCTGCGTTGCGTTGATAATGAAAATTACAGTTAAGATATTCATTTCAATTTCACTGTGCGTTCGTCAATATGATACGTCAGTATATATTATTTAGCACATTCATGTATAAGTTGTAAAACATTCATGTAAAATTGTTCTAAACAAGAGATTCTCCGTGTATGATTAACTATACTGCAATTTAGTGCATGAAATGAGGATTTCCCGACTATATTATGCCACTTCTGATATGAGGCAAATTTTTATGAACCTAAAATATAGAACCTTAGTAAGCATCTAAGATGCATTGTTTTGAAAAAATGTGTGATAAATATGAACATATCTAACAATGCATAAAGTAGTGGGCATTGCTGATATTTTTATACAAGTATTTATTACTTGCATAAAATATATTATAAAATATAATGAAATAACTACTAAAACATTACACATACACATTACAGTAATATATATGATATATATATTATATTATACTATATATATATATATATAAATATATATATATATACTATACGCATAACAACACAAACCGGTTTAATATTTCAAAAAATAACATTTAATATAACCCGTATATAATTATACTAAACCACATTTAACCCGTATAAATTATAAGCGTTCAATGGCATGCATAGAACTTTTATCGATTCTCATCCTATATCAGAAACTTAGGATACCATATCTAATCTAAATAAGAACCCCCTTGTGTAGTGCATGAGTATATATGTGGCAGTACTTGCAGTGAACGGTGACGCCGCTCTGCTCCCTATAGTGCGGCCCGATACGTTTCTAGAGGCATCGGGAGCGATGATGATGATTGATGACGACGACGACAACATAAAGGGTGCGATGCGATCTGGGATGCTGTACGCGCTGGATAGGTGTTGTGCCGTGCTCGCCATCACGCCCGCTGACGTAACGCGTTGGAATCAAAGCACTTAGAACTTATTCGATCCTTGTGACCTGCTCGCTAATGAAATGCTCACATAATATATGAATTAATTATTTATGAGGGCGCCATCGATGCAACGCCATCATCATTTCGCGAAACAGCTAAACAAACACGCGGTTGAAAACGTCAGAGGATTTTATCGTGTGTAAGGCTGGGTTACCTTTCATATAACGGGCCACGCATTACTCAGTGCCTGTCTGACGCTGGCATAAGTGCATTCATTTATATACTAATAATGAAAAATGGTCGCCATTCAAAAGTCCTATTCGCATGTATTACGGATCTTAATAAATAGCGGGTCATTGAATTCAGGTGACCACAGCTAAGGTTGCTGTTCGAATAAGATATGTTATGAATCGTGAGCGAGTTTTACGTAAAACAAAAACGCGATTAGTTGAAGTGGACACGGAATGTTCTTCAGTGCAGGCGTTACTATTTAAATTAATTATTTTATGCATTTATGATTATGATTCTGTTATGTATTATTATTATATATATTATATTAGTTAATATTATTATTTTCTACCGTGAGTCTACAATTTGCCACACATCCACACACCTAGTGCCCCCCCACATCACGATCACCTGCCCCTAGATCCCTAAAAAAATTAAAATTAAGAAAAATGTAAAAAAATTAAAATTAAAAATTAATAAATTAGTTATAAACATTAGGTATAGATCGTAACCCCATCCCTGTGGCATTTTCGAGACTAGTGAGGTTTCGACTTAGTGAGCTTTCGCGGAGCTATTGGGCTCCGACTATTAGCCGTCGGACTCGCATGCTGAACCATGGTATTTATGTATCGTTCCTTAGTTTACGGCTTAGAAATAACTACTCGCACGGCTTACAGTTTGCGTATGCTCTATTAGATACCTCTCAATAGCACGAAGAGCAATGTACGGTTGACGAGTTATGATTTTCGCTCAACGAAGATGAAGAGGAAGGTATTAGAATTCTATTGATTTAACTGTAATGATGGGAAATTCGTGTCAGACGGTTGCAATCCATTATTAACCTAATAGGTTAATAACCGTCATGGGCAGGACGTTTGATATTACGCATGCAGGCGTGATTGCGCCGAAATGAGATGCCGTTGTGGTGCACTCATATACTTTACGACATTTACAAGTTCGCAATAACTACCAACTGTCTCCGCTGATGATATGCGCTATGAATGCAGCAGCCTCCCAACATCATGACATGAACTCAGAATGCACATCACGACAATCAGTTTCGACGCTCAATCGCGAATGAATTCTGTCGTATTGTTCAGACGACGCGACTGAATAGTCTATATCAGTCGACACGCTGCAATTTCGCATCAAGCGTATACAATATGGCGCGCATACATTCAGCGGAGCGCATCAATGGGTCCCCTGCGCTGCGTTTAGCGGTTTCCAATAATTTATTAGGACGTGCTACAATGCGCACAAAGTGATATAATCAGCATACAATGGCGCGCGCGCAGCTGTACTTGATCGATGCGACGATGTTGTTTTCCCGCATCCCTTCATTTGCTTGTTGTTGTCGCACAACCAGTGCGGGGAAATCGACAGCCGCCTCGCCTCCGCTCAAGCTTCGTCAAACGGCCGACATAAAAGCGGACAGCCGCGCATCGGGAAGGCAGATAAACTGATTAGAGCATTTTTCGTCGACGAGCTGCAGCGCACGCGCAACGCAGCGCCGCGCGGTGTGCGGCGTTAGGTGTTCGGTGCGTGACCGCATCCACGCAGCACGCACGCCGCTGACGCACGCTGCGCTCGCGTCCTAAAACGCCCCACGGCACGCACGCTCGCACGGGCTCGCCAGCACGCACGCACCGTTCCGCTCGCCGCACTGCAGCGCACGCTGCACGCACGCCGCACGCCGCACGCTCCGCATCGCACGCTACGCACACATCGCTCGCACGGACGCACGCACGCTCACACGCTCGCCGCACGCCTAGGCGGCACGCTCGACGCACGCCGCACGCACGCGTCCTTCGCAGCTCCAGTCAACTAGGGTGTGCTGACGCTTCCCGATAATATATACTTACAACGCGCTCATCCTCGCAAGGCTCGTTACAGTCCATCACATGTTTTGATGTAGGTCAGACAATGTGAAGCGTCAGATACACGGCAAATGTGGAGAGAAGCGGACATATGCCATAGGAGTAGCTGTATCCGTACGTCACAGCGCCTGCAGTGCCCAACTACTTAAAATAGTGATCAATTAGCACTTCACGCGGCAAACTCGTTGTTGTCGATGTATCGAGTAAAAGTCGCAGGATCGACTGTCAAGGCTCCGTTATAAATACGATTTAATCTCTCCAAACTGCGTCTCGAGAATCTAATACGACCTAAAATACCAATCGTAGATGAATTGACAATTTTAGTCTAAGTACTTCAACTCTTAATGTGCATTTATTTAATATTGAACTGTTCGTTTGCTGTGAGACGGCCATGTGGAAGATAGGTCCGCGCCATTTTATTGTGTCTGTACCTAACGTTTAACGTACCTAATGTTTTACCGTCGTTAAATAAAGTTTTTACTTACTTACTTACTAATTGATACGCGTAGAGACGTAATTAGCACCTAGCATCTACAACCATTCATGTTTCATCATCATTCAATCTACAATTAGCATCTACCATCAAGTCGGGTGGGGAAACACCGCCGAATTATAAATAATATACACACTACCGAATTACACTGTGATTGTAATTATAATTGCTGTAAATGTTGAATAAAATTAAAAATTAATTGTAAATGGGTACTTACGCTTCAACGCGCATCGAGGTACATACTGTAGCATAACGCATTGCCTATAACTGGCACGGCTTCACGGACCTGTCTGAAGCCTTGAATAACATGTGACGTAAGCGCGGATATGAGGCACACGCAGGATATCAGCATATCTCTCTCTTTCTCTTACTCTCACTCTCTCTCCCTCTCTCTCCGTCCTCTCCCTCGCTCTCTCCCTTTCTCTCTCTCTCTCTCTCTCGCTCTCTTTTCCTTTCTCTCTCTTCTCGCGCTCTCTCTGCCTCTCTCTCGCTGTCTCTCTCTCTTCCTCTCACTCTCACTCTCTCTCCCCCTCTCTCTTTCTTTCTCTCTCTCTCTCTCTCTCTCTCTCTCTCTCTCTCTCTCTCTCTCTCTCTCTCTCTCTCTCCCTCTCTACCCCTCTCTCTACCTCTCTTTCTTCCTCTTTCTCTCTCTCACTCTCTCTTTCCCCCTCTCCCCCTCTCTCTTCTCCCCCCTCTCTCCCACAGTAACTCATCGGGTTGTAGCATCGCAGCCTCTCTCGTCTCACGAACAACGCTGCTCGTCATAATAGAAGGCGAGGCGAATAGAACTCGCAGGTGACGACGAGCTTATTTTTATCTCGGCAAAAATAAAAATAAAATAATCTTCGCTTGTTCAGTCCTCGCGCCGCGCCGAGCCACGTATATACACATATGTCTTTAATCGTTACTATACGTACTTGCGCATGCAGGTAGATCGACGAGAGAACGCACGCACGAGAAATGACGCTTTCGTCATCCACTCTTTGCGAGAGATGCGGGTACAATTAGCGTGATATATATTATTTATGGCGGCTTGGGCGTACGCTACCCAGCTCTATTCTTCGCACGTATAGCTTTACGGCGTTTAAAACAATAGCGTTTAAAGACAATAGCTGCGCGGTTCATTTGCGCGCGCAATGCACGATATCTAATTTTTAATCTGTGCGAAAAAAATGCACAAAAAAGTACGTTATAGCAAACGGGTATGTAAGAAAATAAAATAACGAGCGGAGCCCACGACCGATATTACAAGATGGAGGCCCGTGCCCGTGTGCGTTATTTATTGTTGAACGTTATATAGTGAAATAAAAAGTGTAATGAAGTTAAATAAAGTTTGCAAACCGTTACTTGCAGTAAACGCGGATACAAGCTTTACAATCACGACTTCCGGCGCGCGATCCAAGTATTTAAAACTATTCGCTGTTGAACGACATTCATATAAAAAAAGATATACATCTTTATATATCTATATCTATATATCATTAAAATAAAAATATACATCTAAAACCAATGAACCAATAAATGTATAACCTACAAACGAATTTTGCGTTAAGGCTTCGTTCAATAAACGTGGATATATGAGCGATGACATGTGGGGGCGCGTTTCACTAACGTTCGTTCGCTATTTTTGAGGATTGGTGAGGAACGTTCGTTCGCTATTTTCGCGATTGGTGAGGAAGGTGCTGGTGCTGCTACTACTCGTCGCCTGCATGTCTTAAAGCGTGTATTGTGAGTTTTTTGGCTCAGAAAAACTAAATATAGCTGAATCTAGTCTCACAGCGGAAACATCACTGATTAGACCAACATTAAAAACACTAAGATTTTATGCAGTTATAGCATAGAACAATGGATTTGACCACATCCTACCAGCTCCGAATATTATTGTATGCCGACTATCCAAAATACAAATGGCACCTTCAAACGAAGTGCATAATTAAAGCAAAATGGCGTGCAATTCTGTGTGGTAAATATTATTGACTTTTTATGTCAATAATTTAGAGCACTTTCTGTCATTGTCAATACCGTGTTACTATCTGACTGGTAATCCACAAGCTTCTCTAATAACAGACTTTACGCGGTATTAGTGTAGCGACCCTCTAGGGGCGAGTCGCCGGCAGAATGGTAGGTTCAGGGCGTCGAGCGACACTAAGAGTGCTGTCCCGAGCCTACGCACGGATATCTTCAATCGTTCCCAGATCTTTAGGGCTCCCTACTATGTTTAACCTTGGGTCTATCGACCGGTAACACCTCGGGACGGTGGCCAGGTACAAGTGAGCATCAACCAACAACACAAACGTAGTCTCAACTCCAGAAGTATGTAGTTATCAAATTTATTATAATGTAATAATACGAATAAGAATATCAACATACACGATATTGGTATCACAATATATAGAATCTCTGTACCCGCAGTACATAGACGTACAAAGCACCAATAGGAGACAAG